CCACCTCTTTAAGAGTCCTTTCTTGAGGACAGATCTTCAATACACTTGGAGTGAAATAGAATAAAATTGTTAGGCTATTGATTTACCAGCAGTGTTTAAAGAGCCATGTCTAACAACAATGTGCTTTAAAAGGCTATAATACTCTCATGAGGAATCTCAGGACCTAATTTGTTAAAACCATTTTTGTATCCTTACATAGGGTACATCTTTGCTACTAATTCTCATTAGCTTGCTGAAAAATACCTTGACTTTGAGCCTTTGTTTTAACTGCATTTAGAAACGAGATCTACCGAGCATATTTTAGTATAAGGCAGTTATGAAGGTCATTGTAGAAATGAATGCAATAATTACTAATATCTGTTTTGCAATTTACAGTTTATAAAAAAAATCTTTCATGTAAGTAGGGCATGTAGCTGCTGTGTTATAAATTGACTGCAAATATTATGAATATGTTTTTTTCTTCATAAAAGAAGTACAAATAAAGTGATTACATAATTGAATTTGACGACAGAATGGAAACCCGCTTTTTAATGTGAACATTATCTGAAGATAATGAAAAATAAACAACAGAAATGCTTTCTTTATCCTCTCTTTATCCATTCCTAGGGAGCTCAAAAAAAAAAGTTTGCCATTTTATGAACTTGTCCATGGTAGTCAGATATGTCCTAAAATTACTCCCTGTGCAAACATTACACTCTTAAAGGCAAAACTACAAATGGGAGTGGGATTCCTAAATTATTCAGCTAAAGTCTGCTCCAACGGCTGTGAATTACTCCTGAAACCACACCATTCTCAAAGAAGACCTTGAAGACATCTGCCTAGTCCTGGCGCAAGTCTGCTGCTTAGTCTTTTTCCATAGCATCATTTCCAAATTATCCTCCAGCCTTCTCTACAACACCTGTCATGATGGGGAACATACTACTTGGTGACGTACCACCACCGCCTGGAGAATAACATGCAGCCGTACAAAGATCACTAGCCTTCAGATCTGGGGTTGAATGGTGACAGGTTAGTTCTAGCTTAACTGGCCTTTGAACTTGACTTTCCTTATCTGTAAATGAGGAAGCTAAACTATGTTATGAAGAAAGTCTTTTCTTCCACTTAAATTGTTCTTTAATGTCAATGTTTTCAAAGCCTCACTGGTCTAAATTTTCCAAAAGCAAAGTGAAACCCCTGCCATATCCTGCCCAAAGTTTTACAACGAGAGTTGTCCACACTCACTCATTGTTTGGTTTCTTCCTCAATTCCCTCTAATTCCTCCAAACCAGGAATTAGAACTGCTTTGGGGTTAAATACACATAATAAGTAATGTTGGATTCTACATTGCAACACATCAGAAAACTTATTTTCTGGTTGACTAGCCACTGGTGTTGCTAAGAATAAACATTGGGCTAAGAGACCGACAAATTGGTTGTTTTATTGTAGTTATTTTTCTCCTTTGCAAGCCAGAGATAGAGTGAGGTCATAGCTGCAGTTTTTCATGTTCCCCATCAACCATCCACCTAATTGGTTTAGATGATAATTCTTACCTGCATCAGGAATATCATTAGGGGTTCCAAAAGGACAATTATGTAATCCTATAATTTCTCCTACATTATTAGCTCATTTTCTTCTATATTACTCCTTTACCATGCCTGATAAATTTCCTAGGCTGCATTCCACTACATCTAGCCTATTGCTTTGCTTGCTATTAAAACAGCACCGTAATCCCTATGCACATGTTGACATTTGACCTGTAGTGACTCCAAGGTTTTTTGTTGAATTTATATTCAGCTAATCATCCCACAATGTTTTCAGTTGCTTCATCTTTTCTGCAGTCCAGTTTACTCAATACACATATTATAACAAGTATCATTCTAATTCGTTGCCCTAGATCTCATGCTACTGAGAACTTTGCCCTCATCTTCAGGACTTTAAATGGGGCTGCTGTTTAGTGTATGAGATCATTTATTTGCTAAAATATATGCTTGTGACTTGGTTATGATAATAGCTATCTTTATAGTTGGAATCGCCTCCCACCTGGTAATCTTTCTGCATGTGTGGATTGCACATTCAGTTCTAGGCCATGGATTTTGGTGTTGTTTTTCAGCCAGACCACATCTATTATAGAGGGTAAATTGCCTACTTAATATCTTTCCTTCCAATAGATAGAGCTTATACCGTAATGGACTTTTTAGGAAGACTTCAGGGCATATGTTAATATAAAATTTTAAAGTCAATTATATTATCTCTGTAATTCATTTGATTTAGTCAACTAATCAAATAAAAAATATGTTAAGTAGTTACACAATGCACAGCTTATTTCATTAGTTTCCAGCCAAATTTTTATTATGACAATGACTTTTTAATGCAGACCTAATTGTTTTCAGTTATATAAAAGGTTTAAGGCATCAAAGCATTCAAAAGACCTTCTGTATAGAACAAGTCTCATTTTTCTTGGTTTCATGCAAGCATAGGTTGTTTTTATTTCCATTGAGGTGGTTAATCCTTTTAACTAAAATTAATAAGAAATGTTTAAGCATGCTGAATATTGACTTTTTGACAAATGCTCTTTCAATTTAAACTGCTAAGACTGTAATCATACAAAAGCAACCTCTCCCTTTTCAACAGCATAGTTTCTTTCTTTTCCAAATTATACTTAATCATTTACATGACAGTATTTTAACAAAAATCATCTCTTTTGCTATATGCTCCAACATATTGCTAAAAAGACAAAATAGTACATCATACAGACACATTTAGAGTAGGAGATTAAATTCATGTAGAGACAAAGCTCTAGCTGTCTTTGGCAGAAAATGCTCTCTTCCTTTAAGGACACCATAGACAAATGCTAAGTTGTAATTAATTTTCCCATTTTTGTGGAATTTCAAAAACAAAATTGTATGCTTTACCTAAGAAACTGGCTTGCTTTCTGGGAACATTTTAATTTTTCCACATGAGTTAGTGATCAATTTAAATCAAAAGAATTGAGAAGGCAGTAGGTCACAGTTATGAAAAATCAAAAAGAGAAAAAAGAAAAGGAAAGAAATGAATAAACAAATAATGATAACTTTGAAAATGTCTTAAACATTGATATTGTCATAACTTATTTGAAAGCCAAAATGGTTGACTTCAAGAAATGGGACCAGCACAAAATTGGTATCTCAACTTTGATGATTCTAAGCTCAGGGTATATACCTGGCCATAATGCCACTATCTCCTCCAAAAAAGACACTGAAGTTTCGGGGTTCCTTTTTGTTTTTGTTTTTGTTTTTTTTTAATAATCACAGCTCAATGAATGAAGCAAGTATGTTAATTAAAGGAAAAATCCAAATATTCCCATACTCTGTCTAACTCTGTGTGGTAGGTGACAGGGAACTCCTACATAATTTTTTTAGAGGGAATATGTCCAAGACTTTGGCAGCAGCAATTGCGATGGAGATAAACTTATTGTCATATAATGGAAAGCAGATGTCTTTGGAGTTAGCCAGATGTGGAGTCGAGTCCTGAAATTTTTACCTATTATATCAGGCAAGTTACAGAACTCCATCTAAACCTCTGTCAAGAACCATAATTACATCCACTTCACTCAATCATCTGATGAAAGAACTGATGTTTGTAGCAGAAATGAAGAACTAAGTATGTGCTGGCATAAATAATTTGAATAGGGAAACACCAAGACTTAGAATCAAATTCTAGTTTTAGAAGTGGACAAAAATATTGGAAGAATATTGGAAGAAAAGAGAGAAAAATGTATTTTTCCTTGATATGAAAAGTGAATAGTACACAGCTTTTTCCTTTGCTCTAATAAATGAGATGTGGAATTTTCCATTCCTAAATTCTTTGTGTCCATTCTAACAATTGAGCAAATAAATTGAGTAGATCTATCTTTGCATTAAAGGCTGAGTTGAGTATAGACAGAAATAGAGTATCTTTGCGTTAATCTTACCAGAAGAATCTGTACTCCGCCAAGTTTGAAGACATCTCAAAACATCACATCTAGGAGTGGCTCAGTCAGTTAAGCATCTGACTTGGGTTCAGGTCATGATTCCACAGTTCATGGGTTCGAGCCCCACCTCGGGCTCTGGAGCATGCTTCAGATTCTGTATCTCCCTCTCTCTCTGACACTTCCCTGCTCACACTGTCTCTCTCCCTCTCTCTCAGAAATAAATAAAACATTAAAAAAAAATTTTAATCACATCTAAAAAACATTCATGTTTGTAAAACAAATTAAACAAAAAATGTGTGCTATTACATTTTCTTGTAAATCTGTATCCATTAGAATGAATTAGACTAATACTCTTCATTTTACACTTTTCTGTGAATATTATTAAAATGGATTTATGTTATAAAAAACTTTCAGTGATAAATATGTCAAGCTTACATATCTTTGGTAATCAATGTCAGAAAAGAAAGAATGAGACTCTAATCTTTATATTTTGAAGCTTTTGAAATGTAATTTGGTGACAGGATGCCTGGGTAGCTCAGTTGGTTGAGCATCTGACCTTGGTTCGGGTCATGATCTCACAGCTCATAAGTTCAAGCTCTGTGCTGGACTCTGTGCTGACAGCTCAGAGCCTGGAGCCTGCTTCGGATTCTGTGTCTCCCTCTCTCTCTGTCCCTCCCCCACTCATGCTCTGTCTGACTCCCTCATAAAAGTAAATAAACATTTTAAAAAGTATATTTTGGGAAGTAACCAATGAATATCAATATGCAAACATTTTATCTTTAATCATTTCATAATATAAAAATCAATTCAATTTTTTTCTTTTGGGAAAAATTTATTAGAGAAAATGTATGTTTATTATCTTATATTTTACATGATAAAGGTAGCATTCTCAAGACTCACAAATTAATTTTACTCTACCTTAAGGTATTTTATTCACCAAAAACAATTATAATATATATCAACGCCAATTCTGTCCTATTTTTATTCCTTTCCTTCTCTGTGTATGACGTTATTTGTGGTGTATTGACAATAAATTTCCTTGATTATCTTTTTTTCTATTTATTTGACCTACCTTTAGAGTGACTCTTTGGCTTCTCCTATTTGATGAAGTCGTTTCGGCTCTCTTGTTTGGTGACTGTCAACAACTCAGTGACAAAAGGAATACCAACTGCTTTCTTACCTGGTATCTCTAACACTCCTCACACTCTGAAAAACAGTAGAGATTTTGTTTAATAATGAGCTCTAAATTCTTATTAGTTGGTCTAGATTCCTTTTGTTAATTCTTAAACTTTATGACTTTAATGTACTTTCTGCAGCAATTGACAATGGGAAACTTACAAACACAGAAATCGACCAGCAAATGTGCATGCTTGGGAGTTTCCATTATATTATTTTCAATAAAAATAGCTTAAGCAACTCACCTGATACTGACATTACAAAAGACACTTAGCTTACTTTTCTGGAATGTACTACCTAAATGCTCTTTATTTTAGTACTGTTTTATATGATTAAAAGTTTGATAGCATATGATTCAAGTTCTACATTATTCTTCATTGTTCAGCAAGCATTGGGTCATGAGATAGAGTTACTTAATATTTTGAGTTACTATTTTGATGAATTCTCCTGAGTTTTCACAGATCCATATTTCTTTTCTTCTTTACATCCTTCCATCTTTCACTCCTTCCTTTCTGATGTAATTCTCTTGGTTGAGCAAACTCATCAGTGAACCTTCTTCAGGAAACCTCAGACCGGGGCCATTTCCTGCCCTAGGAGATAACGGCTAGATACAGAAATTTATTAGCAGACTAAATATACAGACCATGTGACATTTTGGTCCAGGCCTTGTTGCAATTCTTATTGCAAGTGTCGGGATCATTATTATTCCTTAATCAATCCATTTCACTGGCACCTGGGTAGTTAAGTCAGTTAAGCTTCCAGCTGTTGATCTCAGCTCAAGTCTTGATCACAGATCTGTGCTGTACTCCGGGCTGGGTGTGAAACCTACTTAAAAAAGAATCCGTTTCATAACTGTTACTTTGCTCTCAAGCTCCAAACCAGACTTTCATTTGTCCAGAGAATATATTCAAGTCTCTCCTACTACTGATTACTGAAGTGTATCTTACTCAATATCAATAAAAGACCACTGGCTGGAGGAAATAAAATTTAAGATGAATGCTAATACTTCCTATTGTTACAAATTACCACAAACTGGCTTAACATAACACAAATTTATTAACTTACAGTATTGGAAGGCAGAAGACCAAAATGGGTGTTACTAGGTGACTGATCACTGGATTTTAACCAGATGCTGGCACAGCTACATTCCTTCTAGAGGCTCTAGGGGATTGTAGGGGATTGAACCGTGACCTCCAAAGAGATGCATCCTGTCTATAATATGTAAACTATCTCATTATCTTTTTTCTCATTAATAATCTCAATATCAATTACGTGCTGATAGTAACATTTTAAAATTCTGAAGTTAAAATACATTGTTAAAATTAACTTCACCTGTTTCTTTTTACTTTTTTAAAATGTGGCTAGAAAATTTGAAATTACACATGTGGTCAGTATGGTATTTTTATTGGATTGTGCAGCTTTCTATCCTTGAATTTGATTCTTAGAAGAGGAAGAACTGGGGCACCTGGGTGGCTCAGTCGGTTAAACGTCTGACTTCATCTCAGTTCATGATCTCATGGTTCCTGGGTTTGAGCCCTGCATCGGGCTCTGTGCTGACAGCTCAGAGCCTGGAGCCTGTTTCAGATTCTGTGCCTCACTCTCTCTCTGACCCACCCCTGCTCACACTGTCTCTCTCTCTCAGAAATAAATGAAACATTAAAAAAAATTTTTTTTAAAGAAGAGGAGGAACTAATCTAGGTACACAGCAGCAGCAACCCACTTCTGTTCTAGAACCCACTTCTGTTCTAATCTTCTGTACTCCTTTTTATTTTTCCAAATGAACTAGGTTGTGGAGATGAGACAGCAAGCCTTGAGGCAGTGACTTTTTCTTCATAGCCTCAGCATTACTGATTTGGTACTCAATAAATATAATAAACAAATGAACAAATGAGTTGAATGAATAATCATTTGAATGAATGAATATATTGAGCAGCACCAAAATATACATTTAAACATTTGCCTTTATCACAGATAATCAGGTATTACAGTATGCTTTGAGTATGTATACATTCCATAATCTTATAAATATACAATTAGAGAAAAAAATCATTTTTATCCGGTGAAGACACCACTGTAGCCTAGTGCAAAATGTTTTAAACTTACAATATCAAAAATGGCATATATCCTAACCTATTCTCGGTTTATACTAATAATTTTCAGTTTTTTTCTTAGTTGGTTAGGAGCAAGTCAACTGAGATACTACTACTTATCAGCAACTTTGAATGTGAACCAAGTTCCCCAGATCCTTTAACATTTAGTGGACTGATTATCAGATAAATATATGCATGAGGAATCCTACGGGATGTCCACATGACAAGCAACATAAACTAATATTCATTGATTTAACAAATTTTCATGAGCACATTCCATGTATCAGCCACTGTACTAGTTAATTTATATGTGGTTTCATCCAATGTTTAGAATATTTCAATAAATCTCATCAACATTTCCACATTTTACTAATGGAGAAGCTCAAAGAGTTTAATTAGCTTGTCCATAGTACCAAACCTAGTCGGTATGGTAGAAACTGTCCTAAAGCGCAGAAAGTTTTATTTGATATGAATATGTTAATGAGAAAGAAACATGCTGTTTGCAAACAAGGAGACTTCAAAACTGAAAATGCATGGCTCCCAGCAGTTACAGCTCAGTTTATAAAGTATGAATGGGGAAGTGCATTACTTTCTACTACAACCGATTACCGTGCACTTACATTCCTTTTAAGGTAGCAGCTCTGCGCCAGGCTACTTGTTTGTAGCTGATCAGCTAGGAAGTTACATTATGACACTGACACGAAGAAAGCTTAAGTTTCATTTGAAATCTAGAGTCAGTTTTGTTTATGTGGCTGTAGGTGTTTAGATTAGGGGTATACTCAAACTGAGGGTTCCATTTTGAGTTTTCTTTAACGTGATGATTCAGTCTTAATGTCTACTCTGAGGTCCTGTTCTACTACAAACATTGTCTATATGCACTTAAAACTTTATATACTTAGGGGCGCCTGGGTGGCTTAGTCGGTTGAGCGTCCGACTTTCGCTTAGGTCACGATCTCGCGGTTCATGGGTTCGAGCCCCGCGTCGGGCTCTGTGCTGACTGCCAGCTCAGAGCCTGGAGCCTGTTTCGGTCTGTGACTCCCTCTCTCTCTGACCCTCCCCTGCTCACGCTGTCTCTCTCTCTCTCCTACAAATAAATAAAACATTAAAAAAAAATTTAAAAAAAAAAAAAACTTTATATACTTAAACAACTCTTCCATAATCCTATCCAAGGAAACAATGTTGTATTTAAATATTAAATAGATACAACAACCTTTGCCTATTTAAAAACTGACTTCATAGGCTGTTACAAAGAGAATGGTCACCGGTGATTGAAGGCAGGAAGGGAGGTGAAAATCCACTCCTCCAAAGGATGTCTCCAGTTTCTGCCATCTCAGTGGCCCTTCTAAACTTTTTGTTTGTTTGCTTTTATAACAATCCCCAGAATTTCCTTTGGAAAACACGTGCACCATGTTTGAACTTAAGGTAGGTGAATTTGTGCTTCAAGCTACTGGGATGTAGCTGACTATTAAAACATTATATAATGAAGAAGGAACCTAGATAGAAAATGGTTTGGTTTAATCCTTGCTTTGTTACTAACTGGCTATAAGACCTTGGAATACTTACCGAATTATCCAGGTGTCTACACCTATGAAACAAAGGGATCCATAGAATCTCTGGGAGAAGGTCGGCTGCTGGTTCTGTGACCTTGCCTCTGAGAAAGTCTGAAGATTCACCCTTCAAGGAACTGCTAGTGGATTTTTATCAGACCCAAGATGATTGAGAGTCCAAACCAAGCACTTATATCTCATTTTTGAAATGTTTTCTTGAATAAAAAATAATCAATATCGATCTGATGAATAGCAATTCATAATCAGAGGGCATACACAAGAAGAACTGGTAAAATATCAAAGAATCAATTCAAGAGAATTGTCCCGACTGAAGGACCAAGACTCCAGATTCAAAATACCTTCCAAGTGCCAAATAAATACATGAAAAAGTCCCATTCTTAGACAAGTTTCTGTGTAATTTTAGAACCAAATAAATAAAAACAAAGTCCTAACAGTGTCCAAAGAGAAATAGATATATCATCTACAGAGGAATGGTCATAATGGCAACAAAGCCTTTATCAATAACACTGATGCTAGACAGTCATGGAGTAGAGTTTTCAGAAATCTGACAGAAACAATTTTGGACTAAACTTCTATGTCTAGCCAAACTTTCAGTCAAATGTTTGGAATAAGCACATTTTCCAACATACAAGTTTTCAGCAATATTACTTCCCACACACTCTTTGTTCTAGCAAAACCAAATAGTAATCCAATAAAGACAAAGATTGGATCCAGGAAATGAGGGTTTCCACCCAAGATTATAGCCCAGGATGACTACCTCAAAACTATCCTAAAAAATGACGTGTCCAGATGACAAGTGAGAGATAGAGTGTTTCAGGGCAAGGCAGTAAACCAAACGAATAGTCCATAGACTTCCTGATAAAATAAGTTTACATATAATGTTAGAATAAAGGGACATAATGGGAAGAAAAGGAAACTCTTGATAAGTTAAAAAAACTGCACATGAATCAGCAATTTGGTTTTCAAATAAACCGTTTTTATGTAGCTTGTTAATTTAATTTAAAATAGTGATGTAGCTATTCTAGAAGGTTGGTATATTAAGAGACAAAGGAGTAAATAAATAATTGTTAACAATGAAAAAATGAAAATACCAGTAGAGGATCATAGTTAGGGATATAAAAAGAAAAACAAAAAGAATCAGCTAAGAATCAAAAGGTACAAACTTCCACTTATAAAATAAGGAATGTGATGGACAGCATGGTGACTATAGTTAATAATAGTGTACTGCATGCTTGAGAGTTGCTAATCATAAAAATTCTCATCACAAGAAAAATAAATTCATAACTAAGTGGTGACAGACTTAAACTAGACTTACAGTGATAATCATTTCACAATATACAAATCTTCTCTGACTTACAATAGGGTTATGTCCTGATTAACCCAAGAAAGTTGAAAATGTCATAAATTGAAAGTGCATTTTAAACACCTAACCTACCAAATATAATAGCTTTGCAACTTAGCCTCCGTTAAACATGCTCAGAACACGTATGTTAGTGTACAATTGGGCAAAATTGTCTAACACAAAGCCTATTTGATAATAAACTGTTGACTATCTCATGTAACTTATTGAATACTGTACTGAAAGTGAAGAACAGAATGGTTATTTAAACTTGTGGTCTCCTGGCTGACTGGGAGCTGCCCCGTCAGGAGAGAGTGTCCGACTGCATATTGCTAGCCTGGGAAAAGATCAAAATTCAAGGTACAGTTTCTACTGAATTTGTATCACTTTCACACCACCATAAAGTCAAAAAATGTTAAGTCAAACCATCATGAATCAGGGACCATCTGTATACGAATATTGAGTCATTATGCTACATACCTGAAACTAATATAATATTATATTTCAATTAAAAAAAATTTTAACCAGCTAAAAAGAATTGTTGCCTCTATATAGCCACTCTGGATTATGGGGAAGGGCATGTGCCCTTTCATGAAGCTTTACTCTATTATGTGGTGTTTCATAGCATACTATGAGACAAAAATATTTTAACGTTTTTCAACTTGTAACAATGAGATTAGAAAATATTTTTACATATTTTTGATGTGTGAAAACAGAATACATATTTCTCCAAATAGTAAGATCTTAATTTAGTAAAATAAATAAAATAAACACTGATATAAATATATCTTCTTTTATATGTCAGGCATTTATTTATTAAAATTTATTGAGTGTATGTATTATATGTATTTTACTAAATTGGAGATACACACACACACACACACACATTGAGGAAGGAAACAAGATGAATTTGGGAAGCAAACGTCTTGTGGAACGAAGTTCTGATGAGGCCTTAATCTTTCATGTTTAGGCAGAGAGTTTTGGCATTGACGGTTTGTAGAGTTTTACTAAGCCAAGTAGGTTTTTACTTTGCAAAATTAATTTTTAATTGCTGACACTTAGCTAAAAGTCCTTAAGCATTAGTAGCTAGGTATTTTTGACTTTGCCAGGTGGCTGTAACTTGTTGTGGTTCTGACCCTAAAAGACTTTCTCCCTAAGAGATAGAGCCAAAGGCATGGGCCTTTAGCCAACACAGTTG